TCTGTTTTTGTTTTGAAGGTTTCCTAAAGACACGATGTGAGGAAGAAGAGGGAGAAATCTATAAAGAGAGACGGATTCACTGCAGCACGGATGAATCTCACATCGGATATATATATATTATTCACTATTAATCATTATTTATTTGTGCCATTATTAATCTTTATTTATTAGTGTTTGTATAGTTATATAAATATGCATTGATATTNCCCATTGTTATACCTTTTATTGTTTCATTTTGTCCAATGGCTTGGGCTAACGGTTCGAGTGCTATAATAAAGAGCAGGGGTGACAAGGGGTCTCCCTGTTTGGTATTTAGAAAACATTTTAGTTTAAACTAAGCAGCAAAAATAAGAACGTTCTTATAAAATCCTTTCTGTCTTTAATTAAAGTTTAACAGGTGACCAAGTCTGCTGAGTAAAACATTGCTGAACGTTTGTGACCCGACTTCAATGATATCAAAATCAACGTAAAGAACATGACTTATAAAAAATACATATTTTTGTGTGACTGAACACTTTCCGTTTAGGAATATCTCATCTTAAAAACGTACATAAAGTGTTTATCTTCATCAGCTCCCTTTGCTTCAGGCTGAAATTTGCACCATTCTTAAACTGCAGTCATGGCCTCAGAATTTATTCCAAGGTCCGCCAATGGCCCGAGAGCCGCACTTTGGGTACCCAGGTTTAAACTGCTGAAGTCAAGGGATGAAGTGGTTTATCTCTGTGGCAGCGCGTCGTCACTGCACGCTAAAGCAGCTCACTAGCGCCACCATCTGGATGAAATCATCTTCGGGTTCTGTCTGGCTCTTTGGCAGAGGATTCCAGCATACATGGGATTTGTAGTTTCTTCCTGAGACCGGAAGCAGAAGGTTCAGCCTCTCTGTGCAGCGTCCAGTCCCAGCTGCTCCTCTACCGGCATCCTCCTCCCTGCTATGTCCGCCGTCAGAGCGCTGAGGAGCCGCCGGCTCCTCCGGCAGGTGTCCCCCGTCCTCCAGGCCTCCCTCCGCAGATATTACAGCTTGGACGTCCCTGCCGCGCTGCTCCGGACTCAGGGATACCTGGGCGGCCGCTGGGTCTCTGCAGCCTCGGTGTTCCCGGTTCTGGACCCGGCCACCGGACAGGAGCTGACCCAGGTGTCGGACTGCGGGCCCGCAGAGGCCAAGCAGGCGGTGGAGGCCGCCTACGAGGCGTTTCAGTCCTGGAAGCACACCACAGCCAAGGTAGGCGGCTGCTCTTCGGGACTCCGTTTAAAAAAATGACACATTTAAGATTAAATGCAGCAGATTGACCGAATAACGACACGAAACCCCGTGTGGGTCCGGTCCGTGGCTTAATGGTGAACACTTTGTGGTTCGGCTCTCACATCATGGACCAAAAGCTTGTTTTCATGCTAAAATTTAGCTCAATCTGTTGCTCCGACGTTTGATGTGAAACATGAATGTAAATGTCACAGTTTGAAGCTAATTATTCAGTATGCTACCTAAATATTTAGTTTATAAGCTAAATATTAAATTTACCAATTTATCTCCTAACTAAATCTTTGTTAGGATGTTAATGTTTAGCGGTGCTGCCCTGCAGGAGAGGAGCGTCCTGCTGAGGAAGTGGTCCGACCTGCTGCTGCTGCACCAGGGACACCTGGCCAGGCTCATCACCTTTGAGTCTGTGAGTAAATTCTGATTATCAGGTTCATAATTGATTCTCCCCATTCCGGTGAAAGTTGTTGGAGGTTTGTGTTGCTGCGTAGCGTCAAAGCAAAAACCGTAGTGATCAAAAGATCGTTTGTGTTTTTAGAATTATTTAAATTCTGTGTTTCTGTTTCTCTGTGTGTGTTTCAGGGTAAACCTCTGCCGGAAGCCCTGGGTGAGGTCTCGTACTCGGCCTCCTTCCTGCAGTGGTTTTCAGAGGAAGCTCGCAGAGTTTACGGCGACATCGTTCCGTCTCCGGCCGCGGACCGCAGGCTGCTGCTCCTGAAGCAGCCAGTAGGGGTCGCCACCATCATCACACCGGTGAGCACACGCACCAAACAGGAAGTCAACGCCACATGCAGGAGAGAACCTGAAATATTTGTGACGCGGGAGTCCAGAGCATAGACATAATATAAGCATAGACGCCTCATGGACCGCGCAGGAAATACGGCGGCCATCTTGGAGCGGTATACCCTCCTACTTTGCTCAATCAAAACAGCAGAAGATGCCTCAGCACTAGAGGTGTGCCGATCGATCGGTCACCGATCACAATCGGGCCGATTTTCGTGAAA